TTTATCCCATCTATATTTAGCATCACCTCATGCGGACCATAAGCTTCTGTATATCTGTTCTCAACACGGACTGACTTGCTGCCACCTCTTGTGAGTAGCGCCCTCAAGGCTCTAGAGGTCGTCTGTGGGCTTATGGCACTCAAGTAATCTGCGTACACATCAATGTGCATTATTGTCTGATCGCTGGGTTCGTTCAAGTTCCTCGTTACTTCATGGCCGCCCACAGTGATTATTGACATTATCCTGGCTCCGATTTTTGTAATGCCGAATGGCTTTCCCGTCACCATTTTCAGAGTGTTGCAATTTCCACTCTTTGTCGACCCTGCTACGGCTTCTGGCACCGGCACCGACCAACCTAACGTCTCGTTTAACTTCTGCTTTTCGATCTCCTGTTTCAATCGTTGCTCTATTTCCTTCGTCGCTAGGTCCTGTTTCACTTTGTTAATAGCCTCTGCCGCCGCCTTCTCATAATTTATCTCTAGGGCACTCCTGGCCATGGCCTCTATTGCCCTAGGGTTTTCTTGCGTTACAGCTTTCACCGTCTTCGTTGGCAGTTCCGCACTCGGTGCTTCCGAATTTTTCGTTTTAAACTCAGTTTGTCTGTTTCTCTGGTTCTGCACCGCAGCTAAAGCCAACTTATGCTTGGGTGACTCTGGTTCTTGACTGCCTCCCAAAACAAAGGACAGTCCACCCTGAAGTGCCCCTCTTGATTGCAGAAGAAACATCTCGCACCTATCTTGATGATCAAGCCACTATAAAACTCGTGTTCTTCTATCTGGCTCATATCTTCCCCATCGGGTGCATATCCCAGACTCTTCATGCCCTGTTTGTATGTTGTGCAATCCACCACGTGATGATCAGCTGACCCACAGTTCGCGCATGATCTACGTTTGTCCATGTCATCTCTAGGCTTATACCATGACGACCTTTGTGGTTGACTCCCCCTTGCATGTTCCTGTTATCCGAATATGAGTATTTCTTGGGTTTCATTAGCATGTACTCTCTTGACTTCTGTCTCATCTCTTCTGGGGTCGGTGCGCTATCTTTCGACAGTGTATAGTACGTTGCTAACATTGTTCTCAAGTCGTCACTTTTCACCCCATCGACAAACTTCGAGGCGATGCTAAAGTTCCTTT